TATCATAACTCATAGATCTCACATGATTCCCAAGAAAGAAAAAAAATATTTTATCAACTCCTCATTTCATCGTACATTCACTTTCAATTAAACCTAAAAAGAAATAAAAACCACAAAAATTTGAGAAATAAAGACCACACCCCCAAACTCAAAATCATCATTGTCCCCAATGTTGTAAAGAAATAGAAATGGTTACTAAATTCCTCATCCGATTGACTCTTATTATTTTTGTATTATTTTTTTACTCTTTTTTTTTCTCTTTTTTTTTTTTGGAATTGAAAAATAACACAAGCCAATCCAGTAATGATTTCCCAAACATAACCGTCACTTGCCCTCAATCTTAGCTTTTAATGCAATCATGCCTAGTAGAGATGGGTTTAGGAAGTGAAAGTGCATTTGGTGGTTTGGATGTACACACATGGGTGATGAACGAAATAAGCAATATGGCTCAAAGGGGGTAAACAAATGATGAATTTTCTTTTCAATGGTTAGCTTCAAAGGCCCAATCAATCCGAATAAAATGCCTTAATCTTCTCTCCAATGACACTAAACTGACAATTTCGCCTCAAGTTTCACTCAAATGGGTTCTAGTATTCATGAGATATCAAAGTCTACCTATTGCACATAAATGTTCTCCAAATGCTCAAAAGATCAAGTGATCATGATTCACGGTGGTCAAAAGTAGAGAATCTAGAGTGAATTTCAATCAATGCGAGTCAAGCACACATAAATCTCAATGAAATACATTTCAAAAGACCTAAGAAAGCATCAAGTGACTATACTCATCATTATTATCTAGTCATTTCATCTCAACAAAACTCACAATTTATTCAAACAACCTAAAAAGAAAAACAAGTAAAAACATGGCCAAAAGAACACAACTCAATGGAGACAAGTCATAACAACCAACTCACAAGTAATGCTCAAAATCCACTAAAATCAACCACAAAGTGTCTCACCCCCAAACTCAGGATCAAACAATCTTTAAAATTAATAACAAGGGAATAAGAACACGTACCGCGGAGGCGAGACAATCTCGCCTCCTAGTATGGTTGGCGATGATGCACCGAACATGATGGCATAAGCTCGGGTTGGGGCGGGGCTCTCCTCCATAAATTGTGTCTTTAGGCTCAATTATTCCTATGCCGAGCCAACTCGTCAAAGAGTGGCTTTCGCCCATAGTACGTGTCATACAACACAACGTATGGGTCTTGATTCTTTAAACCTTCAAGCTTGGTGAGATTTGACAGTTTTCGGCTCATTTGCTCAACTTGACTCGGTGCCGGCATATGCGCTTGGTTGGCGTGGAAGAACGGCGCTCGAGATGGTGGAGGAGTTGCCGGCCACATTGGGTCTTCATAGATATGATCTTTCTCAACCGGGGGTGGCACGACAATGGGGATCTCGAGGGATTGAGACTCATTGACATCTTCATGAAATTCTTCATTAACCAATTCTTGAGTCTCCTCCTCTTTCAAAGAGTCATCTTCAAATAACTCCCAATCCTCTTCTCGTGTTTCTCTATTCATGGCGTTAGTAGATTCATCTGGATGCAGCTTCAACCTAAACAACTCCGCTAGATTTGTCTTCATTTCCTCATGAAGTTGGTCGAGCGCCTCCATCCTCTCTAACTTCTCTATGCGGAGTCTTGTCTCCTCTGAAAATTGGGCGACAAGGTCTTCAAGTGAGAAAACTCCGCTTGGTGACGGGGGGTGTCAAGCCATGGCTCCGAAATGTTGGAGCTATCCTCAAAACTGCGGTTGTTTGTTGAATACCTCCCATACCGATAGTTAATATCGGCTATGTCTTCCAACCACCATTAAGCTTCATCCACGGATAGTTGGTGAAAAAAGATGGTACCATTTCCTCTTTCCACCCACATTCTTGTTACGGCATCTAACCCGTCGAGGAAGATTTGTAGTTGCACCTCCCTCGGGAAATCATGGTCGGGAAACTGAATGAGCTGCTCCTTGTATCTCTCCCAAGCACTAAAAAATGGCTCGGAGTCTCGTTGAGCAAATCTTAAGAGGAC